TGGAGTATTGTGTCCAGTTCTGGGCGCCGCATTTCAAGAAAGATGTGGAGAAATTAGAGAGGGTCCGGAGAAGAGCAACAAGAGTGATTAAAGTTCTAGAGAACATGACCTGTGAAGGAAGACTGAAAGAATTGGGTTTGTTTAGTTTAGAAAAGAGAAGATTGAGGGGGGACATGGTAGCAGTTTTCAGGTATCTAAAATGGTGTCATAAGGAGGAGGGAGAAAACTTGTTCATCTTGGCCTCTAAGGATAGAACAAGAAGCAATGGGCTTAAACTGCAGCAAGGGAGGTTTAGGTTGGACATTAGGAAAAAGTTCCTACCTGTCAGGGTGTTTAAACACTGGAATAAATTGCCCAGGGAGGTTGTGGAATCTCCATCTGTGGAGATATTTAAGTGTAGGTTAGATAAATGTCTGTCAGGTATGGTCTAGACAGTATTTGGTCCTGCCATGAGGGAAGGGGACTGGACTCGATGACCTCTCGAGGTTCCTTCTGGTCCTGGTATTCTATGATTCTATGATTCTGAGTCCCAGGCCAGCACGTTAACCCCTGAATCCTCCTTCCCATCTGGGGTTAGTGGCTGGGAGGGGGCAGCTAGCAGTTCAGCTGGCTGAGCTTGCCAGAAACTCTGGGAATTATACTTCTGTGACATCACTAAACAGGAACCCAAAAAGAATTCAGTTCCATATGATAATACTGAGTCCTGCTTTCTCCTGGATCTGCTAAGGGACAGAGCTCTTCCCAAATCTGTGGAGCATCATGCACGTCCCCTGGAATTTGGCCTCCTAACATTTGCCATTGTCTGTGGTGGGGTTAAAGCTGGTGCACAAGAAGCCAAGCAGCTGAGGTTCCCTGATGGCCAAGTGGCCCCAAGGGAAGGTACAAACACGCTGCATAAAGGCAGCTGCCTCCCTATCTGAACACACACTGCCTGCTGCCTGTGCAACCTCTCTGATGACTCCTTGTCATTTACAGTGAAGACCCCTGGTGCCAGCGGCTCCCTTCTAGCAGGAACTGGGTACGTTGGCAGGTTTCACTGTCTCTGAAAGGAGCGTTGAATGGTGAAGGCTCTGAGTGGTTTGCATTTGCTGATGTTTTTCTGTGGCAGAAG